CTGAACCAGATCGCTGTAGGATCCCATGTGGAACGACAGTCTCAAGCAATGGTGGTACAGATGAAGTCTTTTTTCCTTGAGTTCCTGAGGTATGGAAATCGCCCACTATAGTCTATCTGTTCCGTATCATGATGCAGCCATTCCAGCCGAATGAAAAAAGTGGGACAACATTTCCACTCCAGCTTGCGCGCCTCTCCTGCTTATGTCAAGAATCAAGATACTGCAAGGTAGCGGAAAAAGTCCCCGTGTTTGCTTCACTCCAAAACCAGTGCAGTCTCTACCCCTCAGTGGTTGGAGCTGGCTCTCCGCTAGCCTGGTCGCCTCGAAGTTCCATGCCTTGCCAGTCTTAATCCAATCCGTTGTAGGCACTGAGCCAGCCAAACTGTTCACTACTGCCGCTCTTGCTGCCTTTCCGACCCCGAAGGCGTCTGCTGTCCAGTCGTAGTTGCAGCGTGGCCGCGCCATAGGTCCGTATGACGGCTACAAACCTGGAGCCTAGATAGCCGGTGATGTGTGTGCCGTTTTTGGCGAGAGCTGTTCGAAGCATTGCTCTGTGTGGTCGTCACTGTATAACTGTCAAAACAAGACAGTCCCTTAATTCGTTTAGACACGGCACTGGACCAAAGATCCCGAAGCCCTGAGCATCCCTAAAAGCCCTTTGAACCCTCTAGCCCTGACCCCACCGACACTACAACCCCCAAAAACAGCATCAAGCGCTCTCCACGGCTGTGGAGCTCCGGGGAGGTGCGAAGGTGGCCGCCTTGCACCCCTGGCGCCGCAACGCGAGCCCTTCGGTCTCCTGGATGAGGCCCAGATTGTATGTGCTGTGCTCCAGGACCTGCCCCATTGTAGAAGGGGGAATTCACAAAAGCGGGGACTTTCAAGCGCACTACTGTTCCACACCTACCTACCTACCTACCTACCTACCGACCGACCGACCGACCGACCGACCGACCGACCGACCGACCGACCGACCGACCGACCGACCTACCAACTTACCGACTTACCGACCTACCGACCTACTGACCTACCCACCGACCGACCGACCTACCGATCTACCGACCTCCTCTACCCTACCCTACCTACCTACCCACCTACCTACCCAGCCTATCCTTCCCGACCCTACCCCACCCTCGCTGCCCTTCCCTACCCTACCCTACCCTTCCCTGCCCTTCCCTACCCTGCCCTACCCTACCTTACCACCTACCTGCCTGCCTGCCTACCTACCTACCTACCTACTTACCGACCTACCTACCTACCTACCTGCCTGCCTGCCTGCCTGCCTGCCTGCCTGCCTGCCTGCCACCTACCTACTCCACTCCACTCTCCTCTCCTCTCCTCTGCTCTGCTCTGCTCTGCTCTGCTCTGCTCTGCTCTGCTCTGCTCTGCTCTGCTCTGCTCTGCTCTGCTCTGCTCTGCTCTACTCTACCCTACCCTACCCTACCCTACCCTACCTACCTACCTACCTACCTACTTACCTACCTACCTACCCACCCGACTGGTGACCCTACCCTGTACCCATGCAAGCATGCAGTCTTACCTGCACGCATACATCGACATAGACATATGGCTATCTATCTGCCAATCTGCAGGTCTTTCCACTTATCTGTCAATCTAATCTGCTACTTTCTTCCTTGTATATATCTTAATCCATGCCTAGGTCTTTGTCTTTATGTCGTCAGCTCCGTATCTACTCATTTGTAGCACTTGCTGCTAAACAAGGGAACCACCGTGCCCATCGTCGTTGCAGCAGCTTTTGTGGGAGTTCGGGCAGGCTGGGAAGCCGCTCTTCACGATCTGCGAGCACAGCGTCAGCGAGGCGGGGCAGGAAAACCCCGTGAAGTTCAAACTGCAAACCTCACAACGGGTTCCGTGGTCACAGTCACGTCTCCGCTTGTAATCTCCATCCGAAACTTCAAGCCTGAACCACCTAAACTTCAAGCTTTTAGTCCTAAGCACTCCAAAGTGGAAAAGATCCACCAGCCCAAGGAGTTTATACTCGGTCAATGCACCAGCCATGAGGTGGATCTCTTTGCGGCTGAGCGCCAAGAGCCCTGGTGGTGGCCTCGGGCAGTTCTGTTCGCAGTGAACAACCCTCGTTTTGCCGTGAGGGGTGACTGGTTCAGATGGTGTCAAACAAGCTTGCATGATACATGAGGAGTGATCGTGCAGCGTGGGTAGTCTCCATGTCCATGGTTTTCGGATGCCTTGTGGCAGAAAACCCCGTAAACTCGTGTATTTGCTTTGGCCCAGCAGCTCTTGGACTTTGTGTCTGGTCAGTCGTCGCACAGTGCCTTGCAGAGCCAAGCGCAGCATTCCTCTTCAGATTACCACCTCGCTCACTTCTCCTTGCAGTCTTTGGCCAACACTTCCTGCTCAAGCCGTGATGATATCAGTCGCTCTTGACCTTCTGACGCATTCAGCATCTTGCATGCAGAGGTTTCGGGTTTGGGGTTAAGGGTTCGGAATTTCGGAAGCAAGGGCAGAAGGCAGCTTGATCCCTTCGCCTTCAGCAGCCCAGTTCTGCAGCAGACCTCGACTCTTTCGGTGCCTTCCTCAGGGAGACTGAGGGCGGGAAGGACTTCTTTTTGCAATATTGTTTGGTTCAGGCTTCAGTGAATTGAGGAATGTCTGAGGCCTTCAAAGACTTGCACTGTCGTCTCACAGTGGCGTTGGGGTACAGAGTAATCCAGATTCTAGTCTTGAGCTTGGGCTTCATGTTGGCTTTTTTCCCGAAGAAAGGGCCCCTCCACGGATCAGCCAGTCAGGTCCAGATCTGCAGCGTTTTCCAGAGGCCCTGTTGAGAGTGGAACAGCCACTGTGGTCCAAAAAGCAGAGCATGCTTCCAACTATCTTGGAACATCTGTGGAAGTTACTAGTAGCTTTAAACCCGATCCCTAAACCTGCGAAGCAGCTTCCGCATCTCGGATCAGGCGGCCAATCTCCCAAAAGCTTTGGAGGCCCTTCTTCTTGTTCGCAGAGTTATCACCATCACCATCATGAACGAAATCATGGTCACCATCGTCAGTGTCACAGTGATGATGATGGTGATGTTGTTGATGATGATGATGATGATCATGGCGATAATGATGATGGAGACAATGATGATAGTGATGATGGCATTCGCCATCAGCGTTCGGTTATTTTGCAGGCGGCCCGTCTCGGAGTCGGCAAGCCCACGCTACTGCCGCTACTGCCATTGCACTCACAGCCCTGGCCCTGACCCCTGCCCTAGTTGTGGTGGTGATGGTAGTAGCTGCGGTAGTAGTAGTCGTCGCAGTCCCGCGACTGCTACTGCTACAGCTACGGTTACTGCTATCGCTACTGCTACTGCTACTGCTACAACAGCTTCGCCAGCCAAGTCTAGCTGCATATGTCCATTGCACAAACTCTCACAGGAGTACATTCGGCGTACATCGGTAATCTTTCTCTGAAATCATAGCTACGGCCATTTTCGCATCTCGCTGCTGGACTAGAAGGCAGAACATCTTAAACCCGTAGCCCGGCAGCTCAGAAATCCGCTGGGAGATCTCGCGGCTGCAGGTTTTTTGGGCTGAAGCGCCATTCGGGTCCTGGGGTTGGCGTATTCTTTGTTGTCCAGGTGGTGATGAGGACTTCCAGCTTAAGCGTTGAGCCCCTGGGACAAAGGATTTAGGGTTGAGAGACCGTAAGTTAAGGCACGAAGTTCTTGGAAAGATGGGCTTTGCCCCGCTGCCCGTAAGTAAGTGGGATCCTACTAGTACGGTGGCCAAATTGCTCTTTGCAGCTTCGTTCCTCCGACAAGCCTAGCAGTGCCTAGCAGGTGCTACTGCTGCCAGGGGAGCTGGTGGTGGTGACCGCAGGCTGGTGGGTGCGCGGCCCAACGAGGGGAAGAAGCAGTATTGCTCTGCGGTGGCCTTTCCTTGCAGAGCATGTTCAGTGGAACAGGAGATGTGTTAAAGATATCATACATATTTGTTGGGTCCTTGCCTGTGTGCGGCCGTGGTTGCTTGAGGTACAGTGCTACTGCGATGAGGCGGGAACTTTTACCTGCTTCCACTCGAGGTTTTGAGAGTTGCGCGAGTACGGTTTGGTTTACCCACAGTATCAAGCGCGGAAATTCTCAGTCCTATGATGGCCCCATACAGAGCAGACCAGCGCCGTCTTCCTGTTCGTCTCTGTCGTGTCGTCTGACAGCTAAAATTTTGGATTTTGCAATTTTTGCCTGCTGTAGTGTAGTGCCTATATCACCACAACCCCTTTGCTCTACCTCATCAAAAGGTCACGTCAGCCCAACCCGTAAGTCCAAGACCCGAAGTCCTTCAATCCCACTTCCCCGCACCGGACTCTGGCAGGCCTCCTGGGCAGTGCACTCCCAGTACGCTGAGGGTCAAGGCCATGTGCTTTTGCTCAAGCTTGCAAGACTCAATGATCTCAATGTTTGAAAGATTTTAGACTGTTTGGGTCGGCTCAGGAGAGGTTTGGGGATGCCTTGAGCCTTTAACTCAAAGCGACATCGCGATAGTCTGTTGAGCTCTTCGGTTGGATCGAACACGGGGCGAAGAAGGGACTGGCAAGAGAGATTGCGTGCCCCGTAGCAAGCCGCCAAAAGCAGAAGCCCTCATCTGGGCGAGGCAACGCGGACCTCAGGTTTGAAAGGCATTCTGCGCCAGAACTCTGCCATTTGCTCATCTCCGCTCCGGTGACATGCAATACACGCACGAGCGATGGCGTGACAGGCTACGTGTGTTGAGCGACTTGCCTCAGATGCTGGATTCGATGCAAGTTTCAGTCTGTTCATGCTGGCGGCGCGACATGTGGGTGGCCGGGACGTCGACATCGTCGACCGTCAGGAACCGCACAGGAGGTGAGGACAGAGCAGATAGTCGGCAAGCTTGTGTCGACGGAGCACACCTTCCGTTCTCTCCCTCCCCTCGACTCGAAACTGCCTGCAGCCCTACCTTGCGGAAATTGATTGCCAAACCGAAGTGCCATGGAATCCGTTTGGAGTTGCCAGAGAGGCCTGGAGCGGCTTTTGGACTCGATGCTGAGCTTCGCCGGAACACCCAAAGAGGACAGCACCAAGAAAAGCCAAAAGGCTTAAGAGAATGCGAGTTTTTTTCGTGTGTTTTGCGGTCTGGGCTTCAGTATTTTTTCGGTTCTCGTTTCAGGATTTGGGAGTTGCCTGCACAACGCGTGCTCATCTCCGCTGCGCAGTGGCAAGCGCCCGATGACGTCCCTGATCTTCCCCCGTTTGCCGAAACCACAAAGCCTCTTCGCACCGGAAATGTTCCCATCTCTGCGAAGGAGATCTTCGGCTACGACGCCCTGCCTGCGGCAGAGCAGGCCGGTGCCTGTACCAGGGCTCGCCTTTCCCAAAACCGCAGAGTGGCATTTCCTCCATTTTGATCGCTCTTGCACCTGAGAGTTCCCCTTCCAGCTGTTCAACTTAGATTTATAAAATGCCCTTTGCGCCAGTTCAGTTGCTTCACCGATCCTGACAACCTTACGGGAATGCGGAACACTGACGGGCCCAACCCAACTTGACATTCGAGGATGTCGTCGAGCAGTTCCGGCATGCTCAGCTTTGGCACCAGAGCCCGGAAAACTTTGAAACTCGCATCGTCCTGGGCTGCACCCCAGGAATCTTGCCGGGACGATCGATTCTGAACGCTGATGTGAACCGGATATACATTTGCATTCTCAAGCACTTGCAGCCCCTAGCTCCTGCAACCCCAAGTCAGAGCGAAACGACGGAGGATAGCACGACGAAATGCAACGATTATTTTAAATCTTCTCATCAGCGTTTGCCATTCGCGCCATCAACCCGGCACCTTTCGGCAACCCGACAGGTTGATGCTGTGCTGGCCGCCGTACTCGAGAAAAGCGGGCGCGGGCCGGGCCGGGCATTGCCGGGGCGCCTGCGTCCGTAAGCTTCAAAGCAGGTTTCAGCTTGGAAAGGCGGGGGCTTGGGTGTTTGACGAAGACTTTAGGCGTCCACCCCTAGAGGATGGCGCAGTCTCTGAAGGCCTCCAACAAAAGTCGCGACATTGCATGGGAGGGCCCTCAAGGGCTGAGAGATAGCCTGAAAAGCCGGCTGCGGTGCCCAGGCTGGCGCGACTCAGGAGCCTGGATGCAAAGCAGAAGGTCGGTTGCCCGGCACTTGCAGTCAAGCTTTCGGGGTGTTCGCTTTAGGCACATCCTTGGAAGCGATGATTCCCTCCGAAAAACCGTTGAGCCCTGTATCCGTCCTGTACCTCAAGTGCAGCTGGAGCTAGATCTTCGTCAGAGGATGATCGCGTCTACTCGTAGAGCTGCCTGAGCGCGGCACAACGACCACGTTTTCGTGCACTGCCACAGCCGCAATGCTAAGGCCGTGCAGGCTCCTGCGACTTCTGGGAGTTGTGGCGTGTGTGGCCGCCCAGCCACCACAAGGTGCGATTCCGGGATCCTGCCCGGGCACCTGTGCTGACAGAGACCTGCGACCGACCCCCCGCCCCCCCCGGACTAAATCAAATGCGGCACATGCGAGTGTCGGATCGTCCTTCAACCTGCAGCTGGCAAACTGGTATGCATTGCTTGGGTCACGCCGTCGTCAACCGCAGCAGCTTCAATCCTGAAGTGACCTCGGCAAAGCCAAACCCTGAACATGTAGCTCCTTCGAGTCTGCCAGCTGCCAAGTTCTGAACTCCAACCTTAAGTTCTATCCTCAGGCTGTTGTGGTGATGATGGTGCTTCGGATATGTCAGTGACGAAAAGAACGGTGTCAGAGCCTGTGAGAGGAGCTCATCAAAAGTTCTACACGTACTTGTACTTGCAAGTGGCTCGTTTTCTGCTTCCCCGGCTGTCACAGGTGTGGCCGATGTCGCAAGCCCCAGCACGTTTTCAGTGTTCATCGTCGTGATGCAGTCGATGGGGATTGCTACAATTGAAGGCTTCATTGACTGGCTCTTTGCTAGGCGGGTGTGAGTCTCTCCCTTCCAGGAGGAGCCTCTTAGGCAGTGACACATTTGGGATTCATGCTGTCTGAGCTGCGATGCGAGCGTGGCCGCAGTGGTCTACAGTACAGTCTCAGGAAACAGTCCTAAACAGAGACGGGCCGGCGGCGCTGCAAACTATCAGCCCTTTTTGGTTTGAAGCCGTGACATCCGGAATGTTGCAGCCCGGAAAGTTTCACACCTCCAGTCTGTAGAACGAGTCCGCCATGCTCTGCCAGGTGAGCTTCTGCTATGTGGAAGCGAATGTCCCGCCCCCAGCGCTGGCAGAACCTGACTAGACATGGCAATATCAGAAGCGTTAAACCACTAAGAAAAACCAGGAATGAAGTACAGATACCGAACAATTTTGAAGCAGATGCTTCCTCCAAGTCCTCTTTCAAACACCTACCTAAACCCTGAGCTCCAAATCATCAACCCTTAACCCGAAATCCCAGCCGCCCACCCATCCCTAGCCCCTGACTTCGTAGTCCAAGGCGGGTCTAAGTCCGCGGCACAGCCCTTGGCACTGGGGGCCCGACTCTGTCTTGAGGTCAGAAGCGCTCCTGGCCAGAGCATCGCAAGATCTGCGTGGCTCCGCGGCCCGAAAAAAGCAGCGCCCACTGAACGCAGACAGGGTTCAAAGCATTACGTCAACGAGCACAGCATGTTGTACATGATACGTCCTATCGGGAATCAGTAGCTTAAAACGTGGCAACACATGTTTATGTGTACAGATATCGAGATAGAGATTTCGAGTAAGTAGAGCTCTGAACATGATGGATAACTTCCGCATTTCCCCTTGTGGCGAGTCTAGATAACCGGTGTTCGCTCATACAGTCTCAATGTGTAATCGACACTGGCCACGCTACGACACTAAGCCTTGCAGGCCATGACTCAAACCGCCCGGCGGAAGGCAAATCAGCTGGAGGCTGGACCTAATCTGCATTATAATTGTATGAAGCCCTGTTTTTGTCCCCGTATCTCTAATGGCGAACCCTCTCTCCCACTCTCTCTCTCTCTCTCTCTCTCTCTCTCTCTCTCTATTTATGTATGTGTGTGTGTATAAGGATGTACATCGACAGACTCAAATAGATAGATGTATAAATAGAGCTACAATGCCTCTAAATTGTTGGGGTAGGGGTCCAAGATCTTATGCCCAGGCCGATAAGACGAAGAGAGACGAAGAGAGGCGAGCGCTTTCATCATGATGGCCGCGATGTAGAAACAGTTTTCGCCTTTCAGTACTTCTACATTGAAGTATTGTCCACATGTTGGTGAAGGCTCATCCTCCAGAGTTGTGAACTCGACACGCCTATCGAGCAGTTTCCTTTCTGCCAGAGGCCGTGTTGGCCTTTGAGACAGTGCTCTAGGGACTGAAGCTCTTCCGCCATGAAGCCCTGGACCTAAACCCTAAACCGAGCTGGCAACGCCTTCGCGCTTCTTCCCTTTCATTCGCCCTAATTCATAAAATCCTCAATCCCAGATTCCTAAACCCCACAGGCAACACAGGCAACACATCCCAGACCATTGAAGCGAGGGCTCTGAAACCGCACGCAGGGACGCCTGGCCTTGGTCTGGCACTCAGCCCCGGAAACCAACCCTTGAGGGCGGCTTTTTGGGCACGCAAGGCCTTCTACGGGGCTCTCAGCAGGAAGGGTTCGGGACCAGGGCGATTAGGGCTTACATGTTTTGCATTATGGAGCTTGGGGTCAAGAGGGACATGCGGCAACAGTGATTCTTGCTTCTTCCTGCTAGCCTCGCCCCTCCTGCTGTCATTTGGGACCGTTCACTATTGTATATCGGGAACCCTTTTAAGGGCCTTGTTGGAGTTAACCGTTACTGTAAACGGAACTCTTCATTAACAGGGCCCCTATCTGACTCAGGTCCAGGGCGAGCGAGATCGTCTCCAGGCTCTCCAGCGAGAACCAGCAAACCCATTGAGCTTGAGTTAAACGGCAAGGCCTCAGGGCCGCCAACTTGGGGCTTCAGCATCAGGTTCCAGCTCTTTGGAGCTCCTTTTTGGGCGCCATCACACGTCGAAAGGAACTCCGAACCCTTGAGTCCTGGCAACCTGCAAGATATCGAACCCCAGATTCTGAACTTTGAGCCGGTAGCAAACTCCTGAAGCGTTCGATATGCCACCACTTCTCGGAGTCGTGTCCGAGCGTTGGAGAAACCTCAAATCTTCCTTGGGCATCTGGCAGGCTACTGCCGGGATCCAAGAGGACGCGGCACGCTGTTCATCTGCTTGTTACGCTGTGTATCTTGCACTTTCTTTTCGCTTCTATCCTCGTCATAAAGACTCCCAGTTGTTTTCGCCACACTGTTACTAGTATTGTTATCTTGCATGATTGTCAATCAAGTGCTGGCATTTCCGCTGGCCAGCGGAGGTTGTCTTCGTTCTGGCTTGGATGCTCTAGCCGCTAATGGTACTGTTGCCAACGGACTAGTTGCATGGACGGTATCATACGTTGTCATGGTTTGGGCATGGGCAGGAGGCACTGGCCTGCATAGGGATGTGGGTTATGGGATCATGATGTTACATTGGGGGTCTGTCTGGGTGGTGAGGCTTAGGCTTTTATTTGAGCAGCACAAGTATTGCGATTTTTGATTGTTCGGTTTTTTGTTCCGACACCAAACCAAGGAGCCCTCAGCCATGACCCCGAAAATAGAAATCAACAGTGCGAAATCCCTCAGGTGGACACCCTGCGCCAGCGAGTGCACGACTCTGACGAGGCCAACTGGGAGCTTGCAGAGGAGTGCTTCTGGGGAGACTGGACTCCAGCACACCCAGGGTTGGGGGTTCAGGGTGTAGGGCTTTAGCCTTGTGTCTGGAGTTAGAAGTTCGGGTTTCAGGGAGCAGATTTTCGTGCAGGCCGTGAGATGTGTGTGTGAGAGACAGAGTGAGCCTCTGCATACTGAGGCTCTGGCCGAGGCCGTGCGCAACAACGAGGCGCGCCGTGTTTCAAGCTTTCTGAGTTTGCAAGTTCAGAGTCCGCGTTTAGGGCTCCGAGCAAGGCCCTCCGGCAGCAGATGGAGGTCCAGCGCTTGGACGCGCAGACGGCCAACGAGCTCAGCGCCCAGGAAGTCGCAAAACGGAGACGCCGTCACAAAGCACGGCAAAGCCCCGCAGTGCGCTGACTCTATGAGACTCGCGCGTTTCCTTTCCTGAGAGCCTCGCCCTTCACGGTACAACTTTTGTCAAGCCCTTGCAGGTGGCTCGAGCTTGAGACTGTTGACGTGTCCTGAGGCAAGACCTGAAGCTGTGCCGGGAGATGTTCCAACAGCGCATGGACTCGCAGGTCGGATGAAGTTTGGGCTATTTTTCCAGTGTCTTCCAAAACATCCCCCCTCCTCCCCCCCACCCCCAAGGGCAGTCTGGGCTCTCCGCAGAGGCCCTTTGAAACCTCCCCCCAAGACGGAAGCCCGAACCCCAAAACCCTCAAATGCGAGGCCGGGCACCACCAAGCCGAGGAGGCCCTCCATGCGGGATAGCACGCCGTGACGTGTCTGTGAGGTTGGGAGGTCTCTGCGGGTTTGTGCTTCTAGGGCTGAGGGTGTCGTGGTCTAGAGTCTAGAGTTGGGAGCTTGGGGTTCAGAGTTTGAGGGTTCTTTGGCTTAAGTGGTAGGAGGGCTCTCAGGCTTTCGTTTCAGGGCCGAGGCTTTGCGGTTCGGATTGCCTAGCATTCTCTATTCATGCGGGAGCGCCTCTTCTGCGGAATCTTCCTGCACCAACTTGTGCTCCTCTTGCTCCTGTTGGAGGTATCAGGGTCTTCGGGGAACCAGACTGGTGTGCTGCCAAAAAATCGGCTTGGCATCACTTCCTCTCAGTTCCTGAACTGCCCTTTTGAGAACCATCCGAACCTTCTCCCTTAAGCCGGGCATTCCTCTTTAGGAAAGGTGGGGGCCTGGGTTTCCTGTTTGCGGCTTCCCGCATAGGTCCGAAGATCACCAGAATGGTTGCCCCCTCGTCTTAGATTCCCAAGTCCACCACCAATAAAACACCAGAAACGGCTGCAGATCAGGCAACCCTAGAGCTTCAAGCCGTCTCGCGACGCTGCAAGCCCTGAGCAAGCGGGGTCATTTAATCTAAGGGTCCGGCATACTCGAAACAATGGAGGCATTTCAAGGGCATCCCTCAAGGGAACCCTTTCTTCGAACAGCCCCGAGGTGGATCTTCGAAGTCGAATTCGCGGGCTTGAGGAGCAGCGGGGTTATCTAGGCTCAATGCGCATTTTCGCAGAAGGCAGTTGCAATTTACACCGAGACTCCCAAAGCCTTGACCTTAAGGTCGAACAGTAACCCCAAGACACACGGCTCACGGTCCCCGAGCCCTAACCTCCTAGGTCCTAAGCGGCTAAAGCCACGCTGAGATCTTAAGTTTCAGTCTTGTTTTGCCGAAGGGACCCGATTTTTAGGTGCAAGGCTTTCCACCACGAGCCCTTGGACCGTAGACCCGCTGCCTGCTGAGCCCTCAAGACGCTTCTCTTACTTGGGGTGGTAACCGCGTCATATTAAGGTTACAGCCGAACAAGAGCTTCTGTAGTTGTTCGTTTCCCCTTGGGAAGGATGTGGTTGGACTCAAAGCTGGCAAGATCCAGGCGCGTGAACAGCCTATGCAGAATGGGGCACGGGAGTGCGGGGGAACACAAGCCTTGTACTCGACATGAACTTGTGGAGTTTACAAGTCGAGAACGAGGAATCAGTCGCTGTAGTTCGACATGAGTAGAAGATAGTAGAAGTGATTAGTGAAATCGGCGGAGGCATCGGCCATGTGTAGTAAGCTGTGTGTTTGCAGCAAGGATTTCTTAGGAGTGGGGCCCAGTAGCACCCAGCTGCATGGCTTTTACTCCGGCTATGTACCCATGCTGCTGCAATCTACAGCGGATATTCCTTGTGAGCCCACCGGACTGTGCTTTACGTGCCCGAAGTATTTGCCAGAACTGGCCGCTAGTTGTGGGTTTTGATCTGTGCAGTCATGGCAGGGCATCGGGGCATACGGTAATATACTCATGTGTGGATTGTTACAGGAGTAACATTAGGAATTGTTGTGGCTCCTACATTGTACCCAGATCATGTCATGTATGGTATCCGTCGTGCATCGTAGTTTGTGATTGTCTCGCTCCAGAAGAAGTAAGAAAATCGGTTGTGCGATGTTGTGCTGTAACTGCGCTACCGTAAACCCCAAGCACAAGCCCCTGTTCGCCCGGATCCCCGAAGGGACAACTGCTGCTGCCACCCAATCTTCATGGGACATGGCAGTTTC